AGGGGGGGATTTTATAGGGATTTTAAAGGGATTTTATAATTTTTCTAATACAGGTTAATTAATATATATTTTAATTTGGCTTTTAAATATTTATTGTATAGCTCTGTTTTTATTTACCTGTAAGCCGCCCTGAGTCCCTCGGGAGAAGGGCGGGGTATAAATTAAAGTAATAATAATAATAATAATAATAATAATAATTATAGAGAAAAGAAACCAGCTTAATTTACACTTCCACCCCACCTGTCATTTTCACTAGACCTCCAGTGGATTTTCGTATTCCTTCAGGACCCGCTTCCATCTTAACATACATTTATATCCCCTCAGGACTGTTGATATGGAGCTACTCCAAACAAACCCTCAAACTACAAGGGGGAGGGGGAGGAAGGGAAACTTTGCACAAGATGGCAGCTTCTCCTTGAAAAGAACTTAAGGCAAACACACAGCACCACAATCATGTAACCCCAGACTGGAAAAATAGCAAACATTGCACTTCTGTTACCTGTACAAATAGAATGCAACTCAGGATACCTGATATTCAAACAAAACATTTTATCAAGAACAGCTTGAAAAATACTTCCCATATCTGCCTTAATTTTTTCATCAGATCTCAGACAATAGTAGAAGAAAAGAAACACTTGAGTCATCTAAAGCTAGAAAATACTGAGACTTGAAGAATGCAGCAAGGACAAAAGACACCACTGACATAGCTAGATTTTTTATTTATTTATGTGTATCCTGCCTTTATTATTTTTACAAATAATTCAAGGATTTCCTAAACTTGTGCATTTTTTCTGCATAAACTTTAAGGCAGAATGCAGTATTAAAAACCATCAAAAGAACAACAGTAAGGACAAATTCGTGGAGCAACTAGTTTTAAGATCAGTACCTCTGCTGTCAGTTTTCTATGTTTCTAAGGTTCTGTAGCTACTGCTCCTTCCTGCTAGTTGCAAACCTGATGAGTCCACAGGCATCTAACAAAACATCCATGCTGTTTCCTTCGAAACTGTAGGGAAAGTTTTTCAACTTCTCAAACTAGTTCTTGGCACTGGCATATTCATGGACTCCCAGTCCAAGAATTAACCAGAATCATCTTCTCTGATGTTAGATATGTTCAGCTAATAATTTGTCCTATTTAATTATACATCGGTTTGGAATAAGGTACAAAGGGCTCTCAGTGATGGGAGGAGGAGGAGGAGGAGGAGGAGGAGGAGGAATAACCTCTTTATCTTCCAGATTGGACATTGCCTGGACTGTAAAACTGGCACTGCTGAAAAGGTATAGTGCTTCTTAAAGGTTTTTAAAAGGTGACATTATTACTTTCCATTCAGCTTTCCAGAAATCTATCCCGCTTCAGGCCCTCTGAACAATTTTCCATCATTTGTCTTTTTTGACACTTTCCCCTCTGATGACCTCACAAGCTCTCTTCCAAAAGCCTTTGCAATATACCCATAAATTTCAGTTCATTAGGAAAAACGTCCTGATCCGTTGCTTTTTTAGAAATGTCTAAGTATATGGGGAAATGAACTGTAAGAATTCATTCTGTCTACACATTTCTTTTTATGGAAACTTCAAGATGAGTCTGTTACAGCAGTTGGTTCCTCAGGGTAAGATATCCTTCAACTACCTTTAGCTTCTGCAGCATTACATAGTCACAACTAACAAGCGTCCCAAAGATAAATGTGATTTATGCCTATCTATAAAAGCTGAGGCTCCAGCCTTAAGTACACAACAAAGCAGAGATTCTCCTTAAAATCCTTCTTATTCCAAATCTGGATCTCTCTCTGTTAAACTCCCTGTTTACTTTCTGCATTTTTGAAAATTTACCCCTTTAGCCAATTACTTCATGACACAGTTAAGAACACAGGATCAAAAACTGTTCAGTGGATTCAAATTTCATTAGAATATTTTGGTTGCAAGTTTTTTGAAATTGCACAGAATTCTTTCCAGACTAAAGTCCTGTTAAAGCCTATTAGTATATTTCATTAAAATAGCCTAGACACAAAACACTTAAATGTTTTTCAATCTTGTTTGGGGGAACTAACAGAATATCCTTTTTATTTCTTAAAATTGTTAATACCAACTGACAGTTAGACATTCACTGATGGAGGTAGTCCCACCAAACACAATTAAATGCTTTAAAACGCTGTGCTGTCAGGCTGCATTATTAAGAATGCTCACTTTTTGCTATGTGACAGTGAAGATAATGGGAACTGCTTCTAAGTGGTAACATGGTAGGTGCAATCATGCCTCAAGAAGTCAAGGTGCTCACGCATGTAAACAGCTTTCCAAATAGTCAGAAGGTAGAAGCTGTTTTAGAAATCTCAAGGATAAGCTGAGAAATAAAAGATCAGTTCCCAGCAAAGAGCTGAAAGAGGTAATGAAACAGAGCATATTCTTTCTAGAATCTATTCCAGTGATGGCAAATCTGACATGTGTCAAAGATAACATGGCAGAACATTTTGGGTGACACACCTGTGTTCACTAACACCCGACAACAAGTGAAGTATTAATACCACTTTACAATGCCTTGGTAAGGCCACACTTGGAATACTGCATCCAGTTTTGGTCACCACGATGTAAAAAAAGATGTTTGAGACTCTAGAAAGAGTACAGAGAAGAGCAACAAAGATGATTAGGGGACTGGAGGCTAAAACATATAATGAATGGTTGCTGGAATTGGGCATGTCTAGTTTAACAAAGAGAAGGGCGAGGGGGGACATGATAGCAGTGTTTCAATATCTCAGGGGCTGCCACAAAGAAGAGGAAGTCAAGCTATTCTCCAAAGAGCCTGAAGGCAGGACAAGAAGCAACAGATGAAAACTAATCAAGGAGAGAAGCAACCTAGAACTAAGGAGAAACTTCCTCACAGTTAGAACAATTAACCAGTGGAACAACCTGCCTCCAGGAGCGGTGAATGCTCCAACACTGGAAGTTTTTAAGAAGAGACTGGACAGCCATTTGTCCGAAATGGTATAAGGTTTCCTGCCTGAGCATGGGGTTGGACTAGATGACCTCCAAGGTCCTTTCCAACAACAACAACAACAAAAACAACAACAACAACAACAAAATAATAATAATAATAATAATAATAATAATAATAATAATAATAATAATAATAATAATAATAATAATAATAATAATAATAATAATAATAATATTTTCAAAAGCATGCTCGGTCCTTTTTGGAGATTTTTTTCGAGGTTACAGAGACCACATGAGAATGGGATGTGCTCTCTCATGGCCTTCAGAACAATGCACAAGAGGGGTATGCACAGCATCGTGAGCCTCCAAAAATTGTCGGAGAATAAGGTGTACTTTTGCATGGTTTTCAGAGGCCGTAGAAGAGCATTTTCCAAAATTGCTTCAAGAATAAAGGCCTCGTGTAACCTGGAGCAGGTTTAGATAGGCCAGAGGGGCTTGTCAACAGAATAAGAACCCCACTTGAAGATAAGCAACGCAGGGGAGATTCTAGGAAGTGCTGGGCACAATGCAAAGCAGCCTGCTTGAGTGACAGCTGAGGTGGCAGGGTTGAAGCCTTTAGGCCTAGCCTCAGCGCTGGGTGCGGCTGATCAGGATTACCTAGATGGGGGGAGGGAATAGAGAATGGTTTCTCTTTAATGAGGGGGTGAGGGGGTGACATGCCAATAGAATCAGGTTAGGCATTTTCTGAATTTTTACATGCCAAGCCCAAAAGGTTTGCCATCATTGGCCTATACAATACACCCAGAGACACCAAAAAAGTACAGGCTATGTTTCATTAAAAAAAAGGTTTAGCAAAACATTATCCTGGAAAATCAGAAATTGTGTTAAAACTATAGATAACTGCGGGGGGGGGGGGGACTGCAGGAAGCATCCACAGTATCTTCCCTGTATCACATTCTTACATTATAAAGACAAAAGGTTGTTCCAGAGAAAGAGCTTGTTTAAGGACGGAATTCCTCATTGCGTACAGATCCTGCCATCTACTGACAAATCTGTGCTGCACCATCCAAAGCCCACACACCAGCAGCATCTTCGTTAGGACCAACCACCCCTCAAGATTGTGCCCAGTACAATATTGATCTTACTGTACTTCTCAACTAAGGATTTTCAATCTTTTCCCCTCCTCCAATCAACCAACTATTTCTGCTTTTTATGTACTGTTCAACATTCTGCTACCTCACTTCGCTAGTCACCTTTGCTTTGAGGACCTCATCCAACAAATACACACTTGATTTCTGTTTTGTTTTTTTTAAAAAAAAGTCAGTTTTCACACCATTTTTAAAATAACTTTGGCTTGGAAGATTAAGAATACATGGTGACTATTGCTGGGCTTAGCAATGTTGCTTTATTTCCCTATTTAAGTTCTTTCATAGGTTTTTGCCAATACATGTTCTTGTTATTGTACAACAGCACCAGGATTTCGAAGGGAAATAGGGAAGATGGCACAATTCTTTCCCTTTGATCACTTTCATAAAGTTGGAAAAAGCTCTCTGCAAAATAAGCATGTTGCTTCCTCTTCACCTTGAACCTCTGCCAAAGAAGTGTATCTCCTGCTTTGTGCTATCTTAAAGACTTCCATCCAATCAAAGTTTTTGCTAGTATTCAATGGCGGATGTCCATACAGTAGCTGCCCCTGGAGTAGCAGTCCCATTTCTCTTCTGCAAGGAAATCATTTTCAACAAGAGAGCCAGCAAAACTCGAAAGAAGATACACTTGTACAGGAACATATATTAATCCAATTCATCTGCCTCTGATAACATCTTCTTGGAGCAGATGGTCCTCAGCACATCTCTGACTTTGATTCAGAAACTGGCAACTAAACTCTAAAGAGGCACCCAGCCTGGATTATTTTGGTTCTTCAAACTTTTTTGGTAATCCGGGTACGGGGAAAACACACAAAGACAAAAAAAAAAATCCCAAGAAGACTACAATGACCAACTGGAGAAGAGTTTTCTTCACTATCAGAAGGCGGCTTATGAGAATCATCAAAAGAGATGGGTGCCTGAAAACTAGCTCTGATTCTTGTAGCCAATCCAAATTACTAATCCTTTTGGAAGCAACAAATGTGGGGTGTGCATTTTTCATGTTACAGATTCAACAAACTGGGATACAAGAATCACTTTTTGGTCTGCTCACAGAGGTGAAGTGTGTAAACTTGTATTGCTCAACTGTTAATCTGCTTATCAGTGTTGCTGGTTACTCTCATTCAAAGTGGAAAGGAGAAAGACAGTAGACCTGGCTGTCGTTCTACAACTGGTTTGTAATGGCATTGTGTTTTTCGGAATGATAGAATTGTTCTATCAACTCAGGCTGGTTTCTTCAGTTTGTCTACAACAAGAAAGCTTTTGTTCAACTGCTGCTGTTGCTGCTGCTGTTTCCTTTTCTTTATATCCCGATAAGCTTGCACAACCCGTTCTCTCTCCTCTTGAATGATCCTTTGGCGAGCGAGAGAGGCATGGACTGGTTTTTTAACGGTGGCTTCTCTGCCAGAGCCCAAAAGAGATGTTAGCAGAAGTTGCTGCCTCTGATCAGCCTGGAAGAAAAGAAAAATTAGCTGGAGAATTTTAAAGAGGAAAAGTGGATATGGATTGAATCTGAGAGCAATCATGAAGAGAACCAGCTTTAAGAAGAGGATGTCTAAAACATAAAACCCTACGAACATAAATACATAGCTTAACATAACCTTATGTACATAATACATAGCTTAACATAATACAGTTAAATACCTGTCAGTAACCTCTTCTGAGCATTGCTTCTGATCAGTAACCTATTCTGAGCATTGCTGCTTCCCCAGCAAAAGCAGAGGCTGGCATTGTCACTGGCACAATTAGGAAAGAGAAGCAGAACTCAATAAAATGACGTACTTTGTCTTTGATAACACTCTTCCTGGGTTTCACTGTAAGTGTGGGGGGCTGTAGAGCAACTTCTCCAAATTTTACTGAGTCTAAAAGGGAACGGAAAAAAGGCAGTTCCAAATCCGATAATTGCAAAGACAACTCCAAAATAATTCAACATGCATCTTTCATTGTTTCTCACAAACAAGCAAATTTAAGCCAGAAATCCATTCTAGCCATATCCACCTGACAAAAGGATTGTATTTATTTAAAACACTTCTATGGCCATGCATGTTCAACATTAATCACAGGCAGCTAATAACAATAAAAAAAAGCTAAAGCAATACTGCCACATTACTGATTGATTGAACAAATTTATATAGCTACCCAACTCACAAATGGTGATTCTGGGCAGTGTACAACATTAAAAATCCAGTTTAATAAAATCCACATTATAGCCCCTCCCCCACATCTGAAAACCAGTCTTCGTGAAATTTGTGTTATGACATCACAGTGCCTGCCCTTTTGCACCTGGGTCACACATTGTTTTATTATGTGCTTTGTTCTCGGAGATTCTACCCATGATTCCCAGTGACCAACATGTGACTCTATTATCCACTATAAGATCTCTCTTTCATATTGTGCTTTGGAACAAAAGTTGAGCCGGTCTGCAGACTGATCACTCTTTGAAACAAAGAGAAACGAGAAGGAACCAAGCAGTCCCATGCCTTCCATATCACTACTCTATTCGGCAATAAGCCAAGTCTACCAACCTCCGATACCGATGCAACCATCTCTTATCTCAGAAATCAGCTAAACATAAATCTCTCTCCTAGAAGGAACTTGGTTTCTTTATAACCAAGTGTGAAAATCCATAGCACTAATTTTGAAAGTGATGCAGAAGCACGCATATTCCATAAGAGTGGCACTCTGGCAAGATTAAGCTGATAAACTACCTGAAGCACACTAGTGGTTTACTAAAAGGTTTATTCCCCTTTCAGACAGATTATAAGAAGTGGTTTGCTACATAAGCTGCTTTTGCTCTTCCAGCTGTACACAGTGCTTATGATGTGCACTATAGTAGCTCCCTTGAGAAAAGTTTCTGCAGAAACTTTTGTTGGAATAGACTTTGGTTCAGCTGTCCATTTTTTGAGGGAGACAAAAGCAAAAGGGTGCAGACTCTTAGCAAAGAATCAAATCAATCTTATTGTCTAATGCTATGGACTTGTACTAAGCACAATGCCCCTGTTTTTTTTTTCTGGCTTGCTTTATTGTGTAACACTAGACACCGTAATTTATAAACCATGGCTTTTAGTTTAGCATGCTGGGCGGACTCAATCAATGGCTGTTTATTCAACATGCCATTTAAACTAACCAAAGCTTACTGCAATTTGCAAAACTAGTATTGTATTTATTTGTTTATATCCTGCCCTTATTATTTTTATAAATAACTCAAAGCAGGAAACACACACAATATTCCTTCCTTCTCCTACTTTCTCCACAACAATAATCCTGTGGGGTGAATTGGGCTGAGAGAAAGTGATTGGCCCAAAGTCGCCCAGTCAGCCTTCGTGCCTAAGGGGGGACCATGGTCTCTTATTTTTTAGCCTGGTGCCTTAACCATTAATCCATACTGGCTTCAGAATATACCACATGCTTATGGATGTGAAATAGTAAACAGATATTTAATAAATTATGTTACTACATCATATTGATAAAATAAATATAACCCCATCTTTTGCTTCGCCTCTATATGGAAGTCAGATAATCTATGTCACTGGGTTGTTGCTAAACAAGTTCAGGGGCTTATGTAATTCTATATGAAGTGCTACCCAAAACGTACAGAAAATATGTATGGGTAGCCAGATGGGGGATTTGTTGAATTTGGTATGGATGTCTAAATTGTAAGGGGTTTTTTTTTGTTTTGTTTTTGCCTCCCTTTTTTTGCGAACCTAGCTCCTTACCCAAACTTTTGGTAGGGTAGCTGAAGCCCCTTTGAGTTGTGCATGTGTGTTTTCATTGTTGCCTGGCTTGTTTCGTTCCTTTGTTCTTATTGTTATAGGGTTTAACTGTACTTTTTTACTTCACGGACTGCCCAAAATTGCTGGCATTTGAGCTTTGTAATAAATTAGCAAACAAACAAATAAACACATTGAAAGAGAGAGTTTTTTTTTAAAAAAATCCATGCAACAGCATTCACAAAGATGCAAAAATATTACAAGGCGGTGGTAGTTATTTTCTGGGCAAATTATTACCTTACCTTTGAGAAGGTCCTTCTCCAGCATTGTTATTTTTTTTTCTACTTTTTGCTTACGGATTTTTTCCAGCCTCTTCTTCTGAAATCTAGAGAAACAGGCTTTGTTAAGAAAAAGGATACAGAAATTTCATGTCCATGAGCATGTCAAGAAAGAACCACAGTCAGACTTGGAAATAAAGATGCCACAAAACACTCTATACAGGGACAAGACCCAATATATCATCTAACCAATAAAGGATGTTGTGCTAAGCATGTAAACTTGGAGCCACTTTTATGCTCCATTGCAATTTGTAGGGAGTGATACTGTCTTAACTGACACAGAATCAAGTTGAAAAATAAGATTCCAGGAAGAAACTAATTGCTACTATTAACCAAAAGAACAGGACTGAGAAAAAAGATATATTATTATTAATAACTAATTCATTTCCTCCTCTCCTAAATGGAATATCTTTCAAGAGTTCTTGAAGGATGGAATATTTACACATTAGTTCTGGGGTTAATTCTACATTTGGTGAGCAGAGGCTGGTAATAACTTTTGAGGCCTAATGGCTAGAGAGATTGATAGTGGCTTGGGAAAATCCTCTATTCAGTCAACCCATGCTGGCCAAAAAGTTAACTTTATGGAATTGTTGTGAGGGTGAAATAAGAAAACTGGATTTTCAATGAAATTCATCTCAAGAATTTGGACTATAGCACCACCCTAATTCAAGGGCTGCAAATTCAAACTTAACTCTTTTTTCCTCTGCGACTTTTCTTGGACCTGCATCTCTTTCTCAGGCTCACGCGATGTCTGGTTTTCAGTGAGAAAGCGCACGTGCTCAATTTCCCGGTCCATACGTCTATTGTATGAGGTTTCTGTCTCCCCTCGCCGTCTCTTGAACTTCGGTACTGGTATATCACCCTCTGACTGAGGCCTTTGCTTATTTGCTGGGGGAAAAACACAGACATTATAATCTGCCCAATAACTTTCAAGGAGCTTATAGAAAACAGATAGAGCCCAAACCTATTCACTCTGCAAAATACTGATCCCTAGCTGAGCAAATAAGAATTATCTTACAATGAACTAACCTGACATACTGCTTAAAATCAATTTTCTAGGATCTGTAGGAAAAAGGTATTCTGCTATTAATAAGCCACCTTGGATTTCTCTAGCTGAGTAGAGCATCATGATTTTATGGCCAATGTGCAGTATTAGAGAGCAACCAAATATAATATTGAACCTATTAGATATGGTGCCTACTTGCATTGTACTATTGGTTACTAGAGAGCCACTTACAGAAAACACTTAGGAGATCCCCAGCTATAAGTGCATATCTGAAATGTTGGCCACAAAAGAAAATGTATTTACAAAAGTATTGTTTGCATTTACTCTGTGACCTTTATTCCCTCCAGGTAAGCTTAAAAGAGTTGCAACTCTATACAAACATAGCAAGTTTGTACGTATGCATGTAATACTACTATAAAACAGGGGTGGGTTTATTTATCTAATTTATTAGGTTTAGGTTTTGATGATAAGCAGCCTCTTTATTATTTATTCAGAGGGCTGATGGCTACAAGGGCAAGCTCTGAGGCAAACTGGATAGGCTAAACCAGACGTGTGGTTTGAGTCAATATTTTTGCTTAAATTACTCAGTGTTCTTTCTCTGCAGGAAATTTGTTTATTTAAATGATTTATATAAACGTCCATCTCACAACCAATCCAAAATGGGGATATTCTTTGTTTTAAATCTGCTTTAAGCTACGTTAGGGCATACCCAAGAGTTTTCCTATATTTTCTTTTACAAAGCACTGAGAAATTAAGTGCCATAACAGAGAGCTTAGGGGGAAGAACCAAAAAAAAAGAGCATGAGGATTCCATGCAGATCTAGAGTCCCAGAGTCTTCCATCCTTCTGATAAAAGAACCCCATATAAGCAGACTGCCTCAAACTAGTACCATCCAGGAGAGTGGTCAAGATGACACTTTGCAAGTATTTCTGACTAGTTGCTGTAACATATACTGAATGTCGAATCATAACACTGCTTTTTACCAGCTTTCTTCTTCTTCTTGCGGGTGGGGTTTCTTAGTTCATCTCGGCTCCTCATGATTTCCCGCAACCGATATGGAATTTCTTGCTCATTCAGGCAATCTGGTTTTGAATTTGCCTTTTTCTTCATATGGCTAAAATTAAAACAAGAAAGAAATGTTGGTAAGGCTAACGCAGGGGTAGGCAACCTTGGCTCTTTTATGACTCGTGGACTTCAACTCCCAGAACACCTCAGCCAATTGAAAGAACCTCTTTATGACAGAAGCAAGCATTTGTCTCACATTTTTGTATCTTGCTCTGTAATGGAATTTCAACAACTTCATTCAGTAGAATGAATGAGAACTTGCTGGAAGCACCTACGGTACATTAGTCTGAATTAGTACCACAGCCAGCCCTATGTTTAAAGTGGCCTTTCAGTATTCATCATTCTTCATACATCTCCCTCCACATCTTTAAAAAAATGTTGATTTTTTTTCCACAAAGAAGAAAGAATATGTCATAAATACGGTATCTTGTTCTTGTTGTTATAATCTAATTTAGTACTCTCCATTTTCACCATGGGTCTATCGCAGGAACTCAAAGGCATGTGGTGGCACACCTCTTTGGTCTCTGGTATTATTTAATAATAACATAATGTACCATACTCCAAATTAAATCCCCCCCAGCATAAAACTGGGGCAGTGAAGAAATCTATAAGCATTTCCATTGTTATAACACATAACATATAGCAATCTTAATACTGCTAGCCAATAAGTAGGATAAATTATAGCAATCTTTCATAGATTATGATGGGGTAGACTTCAGTTCCCAGAATTCTCAGGCATTATGGCCATTGGAAAGATGAAAAATGCTAGTAAGAAAGAGGTTTTATTATTATGGTTGGCTCCATAGTCAGCCAGATGTTTAGACGGGATTTGGCAGTTTTATCCATCTATCGAGTCCTTCCAAGGACATGGGATAGGCAGATATTATTGCTTGATAGTGTTAAAGGAATCATCCCAGGATATAGGCTGTTCCAAGTAACGCTGCCTTTTGAAATCGACTGATGGGGATTTTGTCAATGCCAATGGTATTCCAGGGGTGCTCCATATGTTTTGGGATTGCATCCAAGGCACCTATTACTATTTGTACTATCTTTTCTTTCTTTTGCCACAGTCATTCCACGTCTATTTGCAGGTCTTATTTTGCATTTTTTTTTTCCAGTGGCTTCCTTTCTGCTGTCTCTCCTGCAACATGTACTACCCAGACCTTTTTGTCTTTCTTATTGACAATTATTGAGTTTGGGATGTTATGTTGCAGGTTTTTATCTGTGTACATTTTAAACTTCCAGCGCACTTTAGTTTCTTCATTTTCTTTTACTTTGCCTTTTTTGGGGGGAGGGGGGTGTTTTCTCTCCAGTTCTTGCATGCAGGCAAAGGGTATTTTTTTTGCAGATATCATTATTACATTTTCATCCAACTTTTTTTTATATAACTCAAGATAACATCACTTATCTAATATTCCTGCCTCCAATTTTCCTAACAACAACACTGTGAGGTGGGTTGGGCCAAGAGAGAGTGGAGTCGCAGCAAAGAATACATGTGCGGAATCAAGCAGTAGCCAGTCAAAATCCCAATTAGTTCTACATTCACTAGGCAGCCTTAAACAAGCTGCTGTTATGATTGAGTGATAACTGAGTGAAGATGGTAATAAAACTGGTCAACCCTACAGAGTTGTTTTATCTGTCACTGACACAGAGTAAGCAAAGCGCTTTAAACTGCACACAAAAAATAGCTCACCGGATAGATACAGACCTACCACGGAGCAGAAGCTCCTTCCGCGGAGCAGCGGAAGCCACAGCAACTTTCTTCTCCCTTTTGCCCATCGCTGTTCCTGACAAATACACCCACGTGCTGCAGTCGCTTCCCGGTTCAGTCTTCCATTGCGTACGTACTCTATTCCCCGCCTACTTCCAGGGGATGCCCGGCTAATTTCCCTGTCCATCAGCGCTCTCCGATTGGTGGAGCTCGGAACTTCTATCGGAAGTTAGGGCAGAATCGTGATTGTTATTGGGCGAGGGAGACGTCACTCCCGGCAGGCGGAGAAAAAGACGTAGTTGCTTAAAGGCGTTCGGAGAAGATGTTACATTCGGGGGTTTTCTGCTGCCGTCGCGGGTTAGCGGCTACTTTTGGTACGTCAGAAGTGGGTCAGGTGAGAGCTTTAGCCGGGAGATTTAGGAGGTAAAATCACAGTTTAGCAACGTTCACACAAAACGCTAAGCGCGGGTTGCTTGTTTACCAAATAAGCCCCAATGGTACATTTTCAATTAAACAAGCTCGTTAGGTTTATTCTGTTTCAACCACTATTATGATTTAAATGTCTGATCTTGACTATGTTTATTTGGAAAGGAGTCAAGTTGTCTTCAGCTTACCAGCCAGAGAATCAAAAAGTGCTGTAAAGCAGCCCTAATGTTGAAGGATTATTCCGCCTCAAACTCTCCTTTAAATTCTTGTTTAAAAATAATTTCTGATTCTGAGGTCCTTTGAAGTTAGCATCTTCATTAGGATTCAGTAGAGTACTAAAATAATGATCATGTTTCCAAGTTCTTCCAAGATTCTTTATCACTGCTGGATATTCAAAAAAGAGGAATTATCTTGGTATCATAACCACAAAGAGTGCCAAAAACAAGCTACTTCCTGGCTCGCTTCTGGAATAGGACTAGGCAACCAGATGCCTTCCTAATGTATTGGATGTTAATTCTTGTCAGTCCCAGCCAACACAGGCAGTGGTAAGGGATTTGTACACTAATCACTTGAGCTATCTGGACATATCAGATTGGAAGCTACATGCTATCATAGTTACAGGATTGAGAAAGAAATGTTCAGTATTCAGTAGGCGATTTTATGAAACTGTAAAACTGGCAATTATTTCATAGGTTCCTTCTTAGAGAACAGAAATAAGGAGAAATGGGACTTGGATATAAACTAAGATTAATTTTAGGGTATATATTAATTTAAATAACAATTGCATTGGTGTATAAGAAAAAAACAAACAAATCCACACACAGAGACAATATTACCACAAACCAAAACATTAGGCAAATTATTCTGGCATCTTTGACATATTTTCTTTTGGGTTTTGATTTTTCAGTGCTTAAGACTTTAGTAGTAATAATAACTATATGAATTGGTTCCATTCCCTATCTCTCTTTAGATATGCCCTTAATTTAATTATTTGTTATATATACTTACATGAAACGTTCTGCCACAGGATGTGGTGAACTGCCAGTTTAATTTACATCTGAAGAGAGTTGGGCAAGTTTGTGGAAGATACAGCTATACTGGGTGGTACTAGTTAGAATGACTGTATACTATCTCTAGGATCAGAATGGGAAGCTGTTAAGTACCATACATCAGGGGACAGGAAAGGGACAACAGTTTTGCCTTCCAGATAATTTGGCCTTTGTGGAGAAAAAAAATACTGGATTAAGGTACCAATAGTGTCCTCTCAGCTGCATCCACCAGCCCAATTTATTTATTTTATTTATATCCCACGTTTATTATGTTTATAAATAACTCAAGGTGGCCATCATATCCAACACATCTCCCTCTTCCTGTTTTCCCCACAACAACAACCCTGTGAGGTGGGTCGGGCTGGGAGAAAGTGATTGGCACATAAAATGAGGCCATAAGAATTTTTTCTGAACTAGACTGTAATATGCATTAAAATCCATATTGAAGAAAATACTACTCAAAATATATTCTGGAATAAATACTAGCATTCTTGATACTATACATTGCTTATAGTATCCATTTAATAATTCATTCCAAAGCCAACTTTATCATACCAGGTCAAAATGTTTTAAAATCTGAATCTACTTAAATGCATAGTTTTCAGCCTTCTGTGTAAAAAGTCACCCATCAGAAAGAAGAGTCAGGATCTCACCAGAACTTGGTTGATTTTTGTTTTCAGAGCATCGTCAAGAGAGTGAAATGCTGAAGCTTACGTACTGAATCAAAAGTCACAGGTGGAACGTAACCCAGATCTTGTAGGCATGACATATTGTCTGGATAAATAAGTGAAATCCTGTAGGTCGCAGCTTTGCTTGGTTTGATTTTCGAAGATGGGTTGGAAGTCCTGGAAATAAGAGGGAAAAGGGATATAGACGTATTGGGGTTTAATTTTGTTTTTGTTCTTACCAGAAGTGTATAAATCTGTTTTGGGGCCCTGAGGCTAGTGATACAACAACGCTGGCCCTGCTGAAAAGATCCTGCCATGGGAGGTTAGTAAATGTAGGCTGGCTCTCTGCAGCACTACTAAGCACTGGACAGCGTCGCTTCGGTGCAGATGCAGAGAGCAGCAGTGGCACCCAAAAGGCTGCTTCCCTGGAGGATAAGTCATGCTCCAAGAAGGAAACTGCTTCTTCGGGGAACGGTTTTGCCACCCCACTAGCACTTCCCCCTCCCACAACATGTTGTATGAGTGGATGCCACAATTGTGTCTGGATTGCTTATGCAGAAGAACTTCTGAAATACTACAAGGATGGTGGCGAGCAGGCCTTGGCAGCTGTGGAGAAACATATAGAAGATGAAAATATTAAAATGTTCCTGAAGATGGAAATTAAGTTCCGTATGAAGAAAGATTGATATTTTTGACCTGGTGCACATTTATTATATGGTTTCGGACTATACAAGACTTTGAAGAGGAAAAGCTAATTATTTATGGTTCCTTCTATAAGAGATGATGTGTTTTATTTTATATAAAGAGTTCTAATGATCGCGCGTCTATTATTGTATTACTGACTTCTTTTAAAATTTAATCTCCTTAAACCAGAGGGATATTATTTGGTATGACCTGCTATTTTCATAAACTGGGTTTGTGCCTCACGTGTTTTCGGAATGTCATACTGATCTCATGGCTGGCATTGTAGCAAAGGAGTTCTGATTTAAATGGGCAGCTAGGAACAAATAGATCCCTTCTTTGTCACATAAATATGTGCCAAATTTGAATAGCAACATCTTTTAGTAGAAAAGTAGGATCACTCACTGCAGTGAACCAGCATCCTTTTCAGTGTGGTTGCTGAACAAGCTATAATGTGTTTATAGATAACCCTAAGCCTTAAAGGTTGAGTTCATACATTATGCTAAGCTAAAAATAAACAGGCCCCATTAGGATCTTGCATCATGTCTAAACCAGACATACAAGATGTTCCCCAGAGATTTATTTATATATTGACCAGACCTAGTTTTACGTTTGTTAGTGTATCTTTGCCTTCAGATCACAGCCCTGGATAACTCCTTTAGGATCCATTAGTCTCCTTTCCCCATCATCTTGCTGAAATGCAAAAGCTCCTGGGCTAACTCTTAAGTCACTCTGAATAGCTATAAAATGCTTACATTACTGCTCTGTGGTAAAAAGAAATATCTGCTCCATCTGCCAGCAGGTATGATACTGCAGAACTGAAGGAAAGTATAGTCTGAACTTTGCAATTTACCATGACTCAAAATACCATTGCAGAGCCGTACCTCTAGCTCACAGGAAGATCACCACAGCCAACTGGTTGACTGGCTGGCCAGTGAGGAGCCAATCTGGCCTCATCTATCATCTAGGGCAGGGGTCTTCAAACTTGGCCCTTTTATGGCTTGTGGACTTCAACTCCCAGAATTCCTCCTGGCTGAAGAATTCTGGGAGTTGAAGTCCACAAGTCAAAAGGGCTAAGTTTGAAGACCCCTGATCTAGGGAAGAATCTATTATTCCATTCTCTTTCCCCTTTCCCGTCATTTCTATTAGAGGCTAAAAACAGGAGTAGTCTTGTTTTTCATATCTTCATTGCACTTAGAATGTTACGAATATTTTAGGTGAATAATAATGATCGTGTACACTATATCTATGAATCAATTTGGTATAGGAATTAAAGCACCAGGCTAGAAACCAGGAGGTTGTGAATTCTAACCCTGCCTTGGGCACAAAGCTAGCAGGATGACCATGGTCCAGCCAGTATTTCTCTTAGCTTTAGGAAGGAGCCTTTGGCAAACCACTTTTGAAAATCCTTGCCAAGAAAACTGCAGGGACTACTCCAGGCAATCACGAAGAAGTCAATACTGATTCAAAGGTGCACCCATACTCACAAAGTACATTATAGACCAGGGCTTTTCAACCTTTTCACCCATTGTACCATTTTTAGGATATGGCAATATCTGAGTACCACCAGTCACCTAGCAAGGTGTCAAAAATTTGATGACCCCAAAAAAAGGAAAAAAGTGATGATGTACAGGTAGTCCTTGACTTACAACAGTTCGCTTAGTGACTGTTCGAAGTTACAATGGCGCTCTTTCTCCTGTCCGAGGTTTTCATTGTTGTGAGCATTTCTGTTGAGGATTGGCAGCGGGGGTGGAGTGGGGGGGGTGTTTTGTTTTTATCCCCCCCGTCTGCTGGGTGGTTGCAGCAGGTTTTGGTCACTTCACATGACCCTGGGACACTGACCGTCATAAATATGAATCAGTTGCCAAACATCTGAATGTAAAACACAAGACCCTGGAGATGCTGCAACATTCCAGCTGATCGGCACTTCTGGGCTCAGCAGAAGTGCCAGGATCAGCACCGAGCTCCAGATGGAGCCTGGCGCTGATTCTGATGCTTCCACTGAGCCCTGACAGCCCCGAAGAAGCGCTGATCCTAGCGCTTCTGCTGAGCCCTCACAGCCCTGCAACTCCAGCCATCTCTCACTCAGGCTTGTGCGATGCTCCCACCGGTTCAGCTCATTCCCCTCCCCCGCTACCACTTTTCTAGGATGGTCGCATACCACCTGCCAGGTGCCAATGTACCACAGGTGGTACCCGTACCACTGGTTGAAAAGCCTTGTTATAGACTACTTCCAGATGGTTGTGTTGGCCTGCTGTCATGTCTGAATGCAGCTATCTTCTGTATACTTTTACTTAGGGGCACACTGCACATAATTCCATCATCTGCACACTACTCTCCTTAATAAATCTTGATTTTCATTTTGATGTGATATTAATGCAATGGCATTTTATAGAGCAATATTTTTTTTCCATACATGCTGCCTTTTCTCCAAGTTAATAAGACCTCTGCACAGTATATAGACAAAGTTTGTACATCCACATTAAGTGATAATGTGGTATCTGGTTTTTGCTAAGTACAGTTTGTGTATCCAGCGCACTTTGTTGTATGCCACTTTTGGTGAGATGGAAAGCTATGATTGACTAGAGAGTAGAGTAGCGTAGCGTAGCATATTGGCCAAGTGTGATTGGACACACAAGGATAGATAGATAGATAGATAGATAGATAGATAGATAGATAGATAGATAGATAGATAGATAGATAGATAGATAGATAGATAGATAGATAGACAGACAGACAGACAGATAGACAGACAGACAGACAAGACAGACAAGACAGACAGACAGTCTTAAGCATTTAGCATATTTCATCCATTTAATCAGTAGATCATGACTAAACACACTAAGCACACTGGTGAATCACAAACGTAGTTATGTTGGGAAGATTAGTCTGAGAGTAATTAAATTAAGCTCATCTGGTGAGCTTCACAGCCAAGCATGGAACTGAACTGAAGTGACTGCAGAACTATGCATTAGTGTACACTACACTCTAAATTTGTTTTTATCTAGTGCTTTTGTTTTCTTTCCCCTATAGTATTTATAATAAGATCTTGTTACGGGATTGCTGTGTCATCCGATGCAAGATAGCAAGGACATACTTTATCCATGGTTACTGCCTGATTAGCCACAGTCAGGCAGCCATGATTTTTATTTATGAAGTCCTTACACCCACTCTATTGTCAGTATTAGTCATGGGTGAAAGAATTGAATGGCTTACATTGTCCTCTACATTTTTCCATAAAGGGTCATCAGTGGAAAATACCTTTGGAAGATCTTAGCTGTCAACTACCTTTGCTATAATTTTCAAGTCAATTTGTTTCTTGCTTTTCAGAAGGACTACAAGAAGATCTTGTTATGGGATGGATTCATGCAATAAACCATTTAAGGTTTAGCAGGATATCTGAACACATCCATTGGTAGATCATGACTTATATCCAAATTGTTGTAGGAATCTAATCAATGGTGATTGATTCAGTACACCCTGGTTAAGCCAAGCATACCGTACTGTTTTGAAAGAATAAGTTACAGACAGGGCATCTGTTGACTTTTTATAGGCAGAGAAAGAACAAAACCCAAAGCTCGTGTCCTTGATTGTAAAGCAAAGGAGGGAGATGAGTTCTTGCTATCAATGGTTATCACTTGCCCTAACCCCCCCCCCAAAAAAATTCCCCCAGCTTAGCCAGATTTCTGCCTTGAAGGCTTTAAAGAGTAAATATTCAGATAAAAATTAGCAGGAAATTAACTGCACCTGTTTCAATTTGTTCAAAAGATCCGTTTGATAAGCTGGCAATCTTAGCATGATCATGGTTCCTTCTAACTGGAATAATCTGTCGTGGTCATACTGACTATTCTCATTTGCAAAACCTCTGAGCCCCATTTCAGAAGATAGTTGAATGGCTGGAATTTAGGCATTTTTAATTGGTTTGTCTTACCTGCTGTTCATGTGTAGGGAAATAAGCTGTCCTTGCAGTTTTCTCTGTTTGCCAGAATCACAGCAACTCTATTATCTCCCTTCCTAGCTGCTTTCTCTGAAATCTTCAGGGTATAGAAAAAAATTGCCACAAATTCATTTATGGTGCTAGAACAGTGGTTCTCAACCTTTTTAATGCCGCGACCCCAACCGGTCGTAAGTCGAGGACTAAACCGGTCGTACGTCGAGGACTAAACTGGTCGTAAGTCGAGGACTACCCAACCGGTTGTAAGTCGAGGACTTTCCCTGCCCGGGAGCGCCGCGCATGTGTGGTTCCGCCCCCTGCGCCGGCCGAGGCTTAGCTGGCAAGCGGCAGAGACGGAGCAGGCCGACCACCAGCTGGCCCAGCCCAAGGGAGGTAAGGCACCCGCCGGAAAAGGGGAAAAAATGGCGGACAAAAAAAATGGCGGACAGCCTTACTTGGCGACCCCCGTGAAATGGTCGATCGACCCCAAATGGGGTCCCGACCCACAGGTTGAGAACCACTGTGCTAGAAAATGAAAGTGGGCTGGGGAGCTTTTGTCTCTCAACTCAATAGAGGCGAATATTTAAAACCTGTCCCTGTAATATTGTTTAAAATATTTTTAAATATTTAATGTAATATTTTAAATAAATAAAAAATAATATTATTATACAACATTATACAAAATATGCAAGTTATCCTCAATTTACAACCATTTGCTTCAGGACTGTTTAACGACAATGCTAAAAGTGACTTAAAACTGGTTCTCACACTTATGAATGTCGCAGCATCCCTGGGGTCAAGTGCTCAGAGTTTTGGTGCTTGGCAACTGATATGTATTTACGATAGTTGCCGCAAGTGGTGGGTCACATGATTGTCACTTGTGTCCTTCCCAGGAAGCTTCAATGGGGGAAGCTGCATTCACTTAACAACCTATGGTAAAACGGTCATAAAGCTGAGCGCAACTCACGTAACAATGATATCGCTTAGTGACAGAAGTTCCAGTTCCATTTATGTGCGTAAGTCAGTGATTATTTGTATGATTAATTCCTCTCCCTGACCTAAGCACACGAGCTATAAACAATGTATCTATAAACGAAGGATGATACTGGATTAGAAACAAGAGTCATAAACCTATTATGAGGAATATAATACATTGTAACACCTCTGAAGCCTCCAGAACAAGCTTTGACCAACTACAGTTACATATTATAAAGGCTGAGTCATATAGACTGGCTATCATTAAGACTTGCAACAGGGATTTGAGTGGGTGCATCTTTCACATCTGGTAAGTAACAGAAAGTTTGTATCAGTTTTTAGAAACCAGTCAATTTATTCCACCCACTTTCCAGCTGTTATGTTCATCTGGAGCTAGTTGAGGCTGTATTCCTGGAAAGCGATATCCATCTGCAAGGAAGAGACGCATGAGGGTGGTTTTTAAACAACCGCCAGTTTGGGTAAGTCACCATTTTAATCTAACTTTTCTCCTAGGATAATGAGCATGAATGTGTTACGCATATTTAAATGAGACTAAATGCAAGTCTAAATGCAAATGAGACTGAAGTTCCATGGAAGAATTGGAGTTCAGCTATCAAAGCTTCTACAGCTTTTGGTAGCATGAGAACAGCATCTTGGTAGCCACAAAAGATAATTAAAATAGTGAACTTTGGTTATATTAATGGATGTGAGAGAAACAGCTAGGTTTGAAAAATGTTACTAAGTTTCCAAGAAAAAAATGAAAATGTAAGCTTTTGCAAAGGTTGTGCATTGCAGGTAGATTGGGACTATTATTTTATAGCTGTGTTCTTAGTCCATGGAAAATGTCCTGGGGAGGAGGGAGCAGAAGGCAAATTCTTCTGAATTTAATTGCCAGATGAATTGTGGAATCTACGGTATGTGGAATCCATAGCATTTTACCCTCAAAAGGTAACATTGCTCTTGCAGGGCTAAATTTATCCAGATGGGTGATAGAACAGATTTGAGAAAATTAATACAGAGAAGAGCAACAAAGATGATTAGGGGACTGGAGGCTAAAACATATAAGGAACGGTTGCTGGAATTGGATATGTCTAGTTTAATGAAGAGAAGGACGAGGGGGGACATAATAGCAGTGTTCCAATATCTCAGGGTTTGCCACAAAGAAGAGGGAGTCAAGCTATTCTCCAAGGCGCCTGAAGGCAGGACAAGAAGCAATGGGTGGAAACTAAGCAAGGAGAGAAGCAACCTAGAACTAAGGAGAAACTTCCTGACAGTTAGAACAATTAATCAGTGGAACAACCTGCCTCCAGAGGTGGTGAATGCTCCAACACTGGAAGTTTTTAAGAAGAGACTGGACAGCCATTTGTCTGAAATGGTATAGGGTTTCCTGCCTGAGCAGGGATTGGACTAGATAACCTCCAAGATCCCTTCCAACATTATTATTATTATTATTATTATTATTATTAATAATAATAATAATAGTAGTAGTAGTAGTAGTAGTAGTAGCTGATGAAACAAACAAAGAAAATCCTTTTCCATCCAGGGAACAAGCCTAAAACTATTTTGTGGGTGGAGCACTCTAATCAGATTAACATCTTTTCAGGGATTTGAATGTGAACCTGAGAAGTGTCACCCTGAATGAGATTAATGTTGTTTTATCCCATTGTTCTATCTGGACGGCAGCCAATATAACCAGTGCAGAATTGCCCAAAGTAAAACCCCTAGATCATTTGAGGATGTGTCTCTGCACCAAAGCAAATGTAAGGGTTCATTAAATCCAGTCTTCCTCCAGAATGATGCCCAATAGCTCCCCACCACCACTACTGCTGTATTGTGCCTGACAAGTGGGCTGTCTGCACAACAACTATAGGCAACAAGTTTAGCATAGGACTCTTTGGTGAAATATTCTTCTAGTATCTTATTGTGTTGTTCCCCTCACACTTATTTCTAGTGATGGATATGGAAACAGAAAGCATTAAGTGATCATAAGGCAACAGGAAAATGTTTGAGCAAACCAGATCTTAGCAGTGTCAAAAAAAAACCCCAGATATTTTCTTTATCCCAGCTTGTTTTTTTTTTAATTGGCTCTGAAATTTAGTGTTTTCAGAAGAAACGGTACTTCAGCATCAGGATTGCATACATAGACCCCCAACCCCAAAATGTACAGTGAACCTTCCTAGTCACATAATTAAAGCAAAGGACAGTCAGTATATCACCTGTAATCGCCTCCCACAGGGACAGATCCTATGGAGTGGAGAGGATGAGGAGAGTTTATGCAATCAATTGTTATTTCATTACGTAACCTTAGTGCATGGCTGGGTTCACACATATGGTGTGCTATGAACCTCTCTGTTGATTTCCATTGTCCAGGTCTTCAGAATCATAGAACTGCAAGGATCCATTGAGGTCCTTGAGTCCAACTCTCTGATTAGCACAGAAATCCAATTTAAAAACATTCCAGATGGATAGTTGCTTAACTTGTCCTTCAACACATTCAATGGATGAATGAATGACATCCATCACCTCTCAGTTGACTTGCTCTCACTGTTCAGAAACATTTTCTAATGTTTAAGAGGAATTGCCTTCTAACAATATATTCCTTGAAGAGATGCGAACAGAGGTGACATATTTCAACTGCATCTAATGATAGACTCTAATTATTTTTCATGTTTCTTTTCTCTCTAACAGATTAAGCCACGCGAATCAGGAGGGCTTTTGTTAAAAATAGACGTTCTTCTTTCATCCCAGCCATGAGCCGTGAAATTCCAAAACCGGAATTCAAATCTGCTACCAGGGTGACTGGGGGGCCTGTCACTCCCAGGAAAGGCCCTCCCAAATTCAAACAGAGACAAACCAGGCAGTTCAAGAGCAAGCCACCAAAGAAAGGTGTTCAAGGGTGAGATACAAAGTGTTATTTTGCAGAAAGAAAGGAGTTCACTTTCTTCTAGATCAAAGCTGAGTTCCAGCCCCATCTGACCCTTCCAGAGCCGTGCCCACAACTGTCATTCAGTTGTAATCTGTAAAGTAAGAGAGAAAAGAAACAAATACAGGTGGTCCTCGACTTTCAACCATTTGTAGTGACTCTTCGAAATTACGACAGCACTGAAAAAAGTGATTTATGACCAGTTTCCACACTTATGGAGATGCTGCATGGTCCTGTGATCAAAATTTGGGTACTTGGCAAGTGGCATGTATTTGTGACAGTTGCACTGTCATCATGTGTAACCTTCCCAGCTGGATTCTGACAAGCAAAGTCAATAGGGAAGAAAGATTTGCTTAACAGCCAGACGATTCCCTTAACACAGACATGTCAAACACAAGGTCCGGGGGCCGGATGCGGCCCACGAAGTGGTTTCATGTGGCCCGCGAAGCCATCCTGGAAACAGTGAGGGAACGGCCCCCGCTGCCTTGGCCCTGGCCCAGGCCGGCCGGGAGCCAATGTACAATTTTGTGGTGGGCATCTATGCTGAAATGCATTCAGTCTTAGCTCCACAAGGCTGTCTGGAAACAGCAAGGGACCGGCCCCTGCCGCGTTGGCCCCACTCCCTGGGTGCATGATGGGGAGGTGTCACCCTTTATGAGGAATGAAGAAATGCTCCATCGCCTGGAAGTGGCCAGCAAATGGCCCTGGCCTACTTCACATATCTGGCTTGATGGGTTCTGCCCTGGTCCCACCCCTTTCTGCCAGATCTGTCCCACTCCTGCCCAGGCCCCCACAGGCACCCTTGATGCGAATGATGTAGAGCTGGCCACACCCACCCAGTAGGCCACACCCACTCTGGCCACACCCATCCAGTAGGCCGCACCCCCCCGGTCCCCCGAGGGCAACCGCAATGCTGATGCGGCCCTCAATGAAATTGAGTTTGACACCTCTGCCTTAACAACTTCAGTGATTTATTTAGTAACTGTGGTTAAAAAAAAAAAAAGGTTATGAAATGGGGCAAAACTCACTTAACTGTCTTGCTTAGCAATGGAAATTTTGGGCTCAGTTGTGGTTGTAACTCCAGGACTACCTATAGAGAGGAAATAATTGTATAATGTAATGTAATCAATTTAATTGAAATATTGTATAACCATAGTTCCTGTTTTGATCTATGTATTTATTGGAGTAGAGGGAGAGTTCAAGTGCTGTCTTTGTACCCTAAAAATGTTCTAGACCCTAAAACCAATCATAACCACCTTTAATCATCATTATTAGAGACAATATTCCTCCCTTGGGCTCGGCCTGTTCATCTCCTACAGTTATTAACTTAACAACTTCAGTGATCCCACTTAACAAATGTGGCAAGAAAATTGTGGTTGTAATTCAAGGACTACCTGTACGTATTGGTTAGATATCTGTGTGAGTGTGTCCCTAATCAGCATAGCTGCGGATCAATTCCTGAACTTCCTTACATTATTTCTATCATTTTCTTCTGTCAAAAACAAACGCTTTTCTTAATCACCCAACCTACGTGCACCTGAATAAAGAGGTAATAGTCCCACAAAGTGATCGTGCATGGAAGCCAATTTTTTAGGAAAACAAGTTTCTTTTTCTTTTGCAGGTTTGGTGATGACATTCCTGGTATGGAAGGCTTGGGAACAGGTATGAAGGATCGATGGATTACATTAACTGAAGTGCTGATTTGAGAAAATCAGGCTTCTGCAGGTTCCTTGCAATGTATCTTTCTCGGCTCTGCTATGGGCAGGTCCAGCTGTTTCAGCCACAGCTGGGATATTTTGGGCAATGTCACAATTCATGTTGAAACATTTCTACTGTTAGAGGCTTGCTTCCTTCGTCTAAATTTTATCAGCCCCCTGAATAGTTTACCACACCTTCAGTAAACTGTGAATTCCTTGTTCCTATTATTTTAATCTCTGTCTATATTTCAGAAATTATATTTCTGTTCCTTTTTTTATAACAAGCATATAACAAGAATATATGCTTGTTATAAAAAATAACAAGAATATAATCCACAATAGATATTTACCTATTTGTCTTAGGAAGTATTAACTCTAGAACAGTGATGGCGAACCCTGAGTGCCCAAACTACAACCCAAAACCCACATGCATCATCGAGTGCCGGGTGGGTGTGGCCCATTGGCTGAGTGTGGCCCATTGGCTGGGTGTGGCCAATTGGGTGGGCGTGGCTGCGGTGGTAACGGCAGACTGGGTGGGACTAAAAAGTTCAATCAATGAATTCCAACTTTGCAAGATTTTTTGGATCTTTTTTTTTTTTTGCACATGGCGGCGGAGGCCTAAAGCAAAAAGGTTTTATAAAACCCAGCTGAAGGCCTAGGACTGGGGCAATGGCACGCGTGCCCACAGAGAGGGCTCTGAGTGCCACCTCTGGCACCCGTGCCATAGGTTCGCCACCACTGCTCTAGAACATGCTCCAAAAAAACAGGGAATTACTGCCTAGAGGCAGATCTAGGCACAGCCAACACCATTCCACCAACTCCTCTTAGCTGATTTATATGATTATTGGTAGCATCTCCAGACCAGCAGGTGCAAAAAGGACAGTTTCAGCCACATTGCTTTCATGGGTGTCCTCATATTTTCCCCTCAGGATTTTTTTTCATCCAGGATTGCAACAGGAGCATCATATTTATCCAACTTCAAGTGGTTCTTGCACAGCATTTGGTTTCTGGGGGACATTAGGGAAGGATCACCATACAGGAAAGTAAACAGCTTCAGAGGCAGCAAATCAAAAAGTATCTGAGATGCTTTTACTCTTGATTATCAGACCACCGTGAGTCTTGGCAGAGAGCATGTGTGTACCTAGTACAGAAGATCCACCTGGATGGAGCCTAGCAGCACTAAGCTGCATGTGGCGCATCTTTTCTTTTTATCCAACTTTTTATCTGTACCAGTGTAAAGGGGCCAGACATCGTGCTGAAGTATGATTTGTATTTTGCAATAACATGTAGAAACAAACAGCACACCAAAAGCTGTTTTGGCATGTGTGAGAACGTGAAAGTAGCACCTCTCTGAGCACCTTGTGGCAAGTGCTGTGTTTGTGCTTTTGCATGCTTAAGTATCTTTTGGAGGCTGGATCCAAAGTCTTGTATAGACCTAGGAATACTATAAGCATCTCCCTGGCTATCATCCTATTCCAAAAATGGTAGCAGAGGTGCAAATACCTCTGTTACTGTTTTCCTCTCATAAATGCCTATAAAAGCACTTTGTTTGCAGTTGGTTTTATGCTACCCAAAAAGCTATGCGTCCCTTAAGCACTGTTAGTAAATAACCCAAAATTCGATGGATTCACACAATCCATGGGCCACGATTACACATTAAGCTTCAATGCACATGAACAAAATCTGCATCTTCAAGAGGTCCAGATTAGTCTGTCTGCTTTCTAAAATGTCCTTATTTATTTGGCTGGCGATAACTGCTGTAACCCATTTGATCCTCTATCCTTTTGAATATGGAATATGGAAGTAATGAATTGCCATATGTATGTAATATCTGCATTGATATTTAGGTCAGGTGGCAATGACTGTAGCTCTCAGTACCATTCCAAAGGATTCAAAGACTGATTATGATTCCCATTCCATTGTCTGATTTTTCAAACACCTGACAAGCTTTGAAGACATCTTCATGTCATCACAAAGCTAATGCTGGCAAGAAGCAATAAGGGTTGAATTGATGTGGGCTCTCCTCTCTTTCAGATATCACTGTGATCTGTCCCTGGGAAGCTTTCAGCCACCTGGAGCTCCATGAACTGGCACAGTATGGTATCATTTGAAGACGTAGAAGCCAGAAACAGGCCGGATACATGCCTTTCATTCAACAAAGCAAGAACAGTTCATGAGCATTCCCATTATCCATATTCCTAGCCCTGCATATCCACTCTCCCAGTGGTAGCCTGTTGGGGCCTAGAGCAATTGCTCACTAAAACAAAATCCAAGTGAATAAGTCTTAGACTTGGTTTCATACTACTGTCCCTGTGATGATTTCCTCCCCCCCCCCCAAATAAACATTTGCAAAAAAAAGTCACAATGAACCAGAAAAATGACTTCATTTTATACGCAGTAAGTCCCAAATTTTACAACTCCATCATTTTCTTCTAATCTTTTTTTTTATTCCTCGTGTTTTTTTTCCCATATGTGCAGGGTCCCCCCACCCTCCTTTTATTCTAGATCAGGGGTCCTCAACCTTGGCAACTTTAAGACTTGTGGACTTCAACTCTGCTGGCTGAGGAATTCTGGGAGTTGAAGTCCACAAGTCTTAAAGTTGCCAAGATTGAGGACCCCTGTTCTAGATCATCTGACTGTCCATTGGTTGCAACAGGAACTGACTGTTTGTTGCTGGAGCCTGACATCAAGGGCTGAAAGAGAGTGACTGGTTCAAAATCACCCAGCTGGCTTTCATGCCTAAAATGGTTTCCTAATTTCTAGCCTGGTGTCTTAACCACTAAACCAAACCAATCCTCTTTCCTTCTAATCTGTCCCTTGGATTATAAAAATGTTAAACAGAAGTTGACCTAACTGAAAACTACTGTAATATTTCTTGCTAAGATAAGATGCCAGTAACTGAAGGTCCAGGAGATGGGCTGCAGTGGTGAACCTTTAAGATTTAAAAGAAATATGAATGATTACAGATTTACAATTACAGAAAATAAGAATATTGAAAATTTTAATGTGCTGCTCCTGTATATATTGGAGAGGAAACTTTCAAATGAAAAACTAAGAATAACCATAAGAAAGTGTTTTGGACAATTTGGATATTTATTTAAATGAAACTCTAGTTACTCTTCAGTGGAGGAGACATACTTTCAATGAATTCAATAGTGTTTACTTCTAGATAAATGGATACAGGATTCCAGCCTCAATTTCTCCACTACACATAAAGCCATTAGGTTTTAGAAGGGATGTCTGTACTGTTGCTATATAACAATTGATGCATTTAATTCTATGGGCCAAAAGCAATTGATTATAGACATTAAAATATGACACAGAATATATTTAAGAAGGAAAGCATTATATATAAAATTAATGAAGAACCAAAAATATTTACAACCAGGACTGAATGAAGCATATGAGGAAAGTATTATATTAAGGCAATATGTCTTTGTGAAGCTCATCTTTGGTAAGATCACACTTGGAATATTGCACCCAGTTTTGGTCATCACGATACGAAAAAAAGATGTTGAGACTCTAGAATGAGTGCAGAGAAGAGCAACAAAGATGATTAGAGGAATGGAAGCTAAAACATATGATGAACGGTTGCAGGAACTAAATATGTCTAATCTAATGAACAGAAAGACCAGGGGTGACATGATAGCAGTCTTCCAAAATTTGACGGGCTGCCACAAAGAAGAGAGGGTCAACTTATTCTCAAAGCACCTGAAGGCAGAACAAGATGTTACAGATGGAATATTATCAAGGAGAGAGCCAAACCAGAAATAAGAAGAAATTTCCAAACAGTGAGAACAATCAGTGGAAAGTCTTGTCTCCATAAGTTGTGGGTGCTCCCACACTGGAGGTTTTAAGATGAGATTGGACAGCCATTTTTCCAGAATGGCATAGGGTCTCCTGCTTGAGCAGGGGGTTGGACTAGAAGACCTCCAAGGTCTCTTCTTACTTTGTTATTCTGTAAATGGACATATGGCAAAGTACTGGCATTTGTGCCCTTTGCATTTGGCCCCTCAGTATCTCCTCAGTGGAGATCTGCTACAATATGCAACTCTGAATTGCTGTACTTTCACTTCAGAAAAGTGGGAGAAAGAGTCAGAAGGGACAAAGAGACTTCCGGTTCCAGATCGCGGCGCTGGCAGTCGTACAGACAGAGTCGTCTCTTCGCCGGCCAGTTTCCCTTCGCCGGTAGACCCTTAACAGGGTCGAAAGTCGCCATGGAAGGGCGACTACCAATAAGGAGGACTCTTGTCAACCACAGAAGGGTGGCAGCTCTTTCCGCGGTCCGAGGCAGCTCCTTAGGGCCAACGGAGAAAAGATCGGCTATGTTAATGGCCGATCACTTAGCCGCACCAGCTGAAAGTCAGAAGAACATCTAAGCATAAAGAACCACTGTGGAAGATCCAGATGAGACCCTTCCTTCCCTCTCTTTACCCTATCTCCCTGTGAAAAGCTTTTGGAATTATTTCCCTATTTTGAGAGAGCGGCGTCTGTTTACTGGGGAAAAAGAGCTCTGGAAACAAAGAAAAAATAATTAATTTTTATTGACTATTTTTATTCTTGGATACTCTGGGGTTCTGAAAAAATTCCTACTATAGAACTTTACTACTCTACTCTTTATTACTCTATCTATTTATTAAGCTGGAGAATATTGTTGTTTTTTTACTTTTCTAACTGGATAAAACTGTATTGGAATCTGGGAAGAAGATTTTACAACCTACTGGGGACATCTTGTGGCAAATGTTGACATTGCAATTGTATTTCCTCTTTGATTTTGAGGCTGGGTTTGACCTTCAAATTATTATAAAAGGGAAAAGATAAAGGATTTAAAACAGCTGGGTGGTGAAACTGTTTACTAGAAACTGTGGAGGTGGATATTGGCTGAGTGTTAGTAAACATAGCCTCCACTAAAAGACTAAAAGATTATTTCACCACTGAAATGGAGGAATTTTACCCACAGCTTAACTATAGGTTTATATTGGAAAAAATCTTGGAGGTTACGTAGCAAATGAACTCTAGGATGAATACCAAAGATGATATTCCAGAACTACAAATTGAACCTCAAATTTTAACTGATCAATTTATAGGCCAAGGAATAATAGAGTAGGAATAGATCAACTTCAAAGAGGCCTCTATGCAACAACACATACAATTTAATGAGATGGAGGAACCTTATCCACAACTTAACTATAAACGTATACTGGAAAATTTTTGTGAAGCTACTGAGCAAGTGAATTCCAGAATAAAAGCCCTTGCCCCAAAACTTCAAACTGATTTCCAGACTCCACAAGTCAAAAAATAACAGAAGAGGAACAAATCAACACAGAAGAGGACATTACACAATCCTGTGTAATTGAGAACTTTGACGACCAAAGAATGACTTTAATTAAAACACTTGTAATGCCAAAAGCAACAGAAAATGAAGAAGGAGAAGAGAAGTACGACCAGACTGAACTGTTGATAAACACTCCTAATCAAACACTGAGATTTGATGATATAGAGGCTTTTTTATGGAAACCTGTCTGGCACAAAAAGAAAGCCAGAGTTAGATTCAAAAATGAGACTTAAAACTTTATTTAATGGGTTAAAAAGGCTTTTAGAGATTTTGACTGATTTAATACTAATTGAGATGAATTATTGACTAGATTATAGTTTGGAATTGTAATAAGGAAAATGTTTTATATAAAGAGTTATTAGGATAAGAAATAGAACATATATGGAAAATATAGTAAGAAGGTATCTTTTGGAACAATATGTTTTAGGTATTTATTTTGATGGGATTTAAATTTTACTTAATGGGTCAAAAAAGCTTTGTAGAGATATGGATTGATTTATAGAATATATATCTGAAATAGAGTAAGAATGTATTTTTGGGAGTAATATTTTTATTTTAGGTGGAGAACAAAAAAAATGGATTGTGATAAAGGAAGACATGGCATTAATAAATGAATTATTAGAATAAGAAATAGAATATATTTGGGATAATATGTTTATTTTAGACATAACTATTATGTTATGAAACAAGGGAATTTAGGGATACCCGAAGTGTAAATAATGTTTATTTAAGGCTAAATTGGATTATGGTAAGTTAGTAAAGCTTAAAAACAGGATTTGGACTTATATAGGTGAAACGTTATTAATAATTTTTTTTGATTGATTGAACTTTATTTAGAAATGTATTAATTTGAATATGTTATATTAATTGAGGGAAATAGAGAGGGAAACTTTAAAGAATTAACATGAACCATATATGTACGATTTTGTTTTTGGATGATTGATTACCCCATCACCACGTTGTTTCCCAAGCACCTTGATGTAAAAACTAAAAAACTAATAAAACTTTTTTTTTTTTTTTTTTAAAGAAGGGACAAAGTGTCTTTGCGGCTTCTTATTTTGGAAACCTGCACTTGAATTGAAAGTGGTTCCATATCAAAATCAGAAACCACTGGCTTTGAGAAATGACTGTGAATAATTAGTTGCTAGATTTATAGGAGAGCGGCCTGGGTGTAAAGGTCTTCTGCTACATTATTCCTCTTTTTCTGACCATGTTTACAAGTATAGCAGGTGAGTGTGCAGAATGAAGAAGTGGCAGGAATGAACTAGGACAGGGGTAGGCAACCTTGGCTCTTTTATGACTTGTGGACTTCAACTCCCAGAATTCCTGAGCCAGCATGGCTGACTCAGGAATTCTGGGAGTTAAAGTCCACGAGTCATAAAAGAGCCAAGGTTGCCTACCCCTCAACTAGGAGAATGAGCAAGATAAATACATGTGAAAAGCAGCTTTTATTTTTTCCCCCAATCCATTTTATCCTGGGTAAATTAACTAGTATAAAAGGAATTATATAATACCTTAGATTTATAATCCTCAAAAGACGATGAAAGCGTCCATCTCTCGCAATAGGAAACCTAATGCATGCTTTTCCTTCCACGATAATGCTGAGCCCGAGCAGAAGCAATGCCTGCCAGGAGCTTAATGGCCAGAAACAAGCTACCTACTTCGATCACAATCAAAACTATAGCAATGAAGCCTATTGTTCCTGCGTGACCATTGAGCCATCTGCTTAACTGCGGAATACAGCCTCCAAGGTAGATGGTGCTTTGAACTGCAAATTCCTCCATGCCCAGGGTGCCAAAGCCACACTGAGAATTCAGGATGGTACCATTTT